TTTTTTTCAGGAGCGGCATCAGTCTTCGGCAATACCCCAATAGATGTAGTAAAAACAAGAATGCAAGGTCTCGAAGCTTCTAAATACAAGAACACACTAGACTGCTTCATCAAAACTTGGAAACACGAAGGTTTCTTCGCGTTCTACAAAGGTACAGTACCTCGTCTTAGCAGAGTTGTCTTCGATGTCGCCATAACTTTCACTATATACGATAGCATCATGGACATATTCAATTATGTATGGAAGTAAATGAATTAAGCGATTTTTTAAAGATCGCGGTTAGTTGCACTTTATCGATATATAGTGTTGCGTAGCTATCGACAATTTTTCAGTGATATCGATAGGACTGTCGGTAAAAGTATAGATATCTATATTTTCTACGGTTTGTAGCACTCTTCAATAATTCGTTTTTTTAAATGTGGTGGTTTTATTGACTGTTATGATCTTTTTTTATACATCAAACTCTATAGAGAATCTATGGATGGATTTATTTATTAAATTTGGTGAATGGCAATTGAATTTATAAAAAATATATGTAAGGATAATTGTGTTTTTATTTAAAAAAAACAACAATTCGAGTAATTGAAGAGTGGAAACCGAAACGGGTAATTTTAGAAACCGTTTTTTATATAACAAGTGTTTTTGCTAAGGTATTTACTATTTATACACTGTGAAATATGTATACAAATATTCCATAACCGTAATTTTACAATAAGATGAATTTTCTCTCCACTATCTTCCCACACAACTTCCATATTTCAGCTCAATGTTTTTTTTTTTCTGTGCCAGCTCATACAGTCAAAAGTATTACGTCAAACTTGACATCTAGCAACGTTGTTTTTGTAAGTCTTAATGTGCTTTTCGATCGGCGATGCGAGACGAGGGTTGAAAATTGTATGGCAAAATTTCAATACTCTCCTAGCGCTTTTTCGGTGGAAATAATCTGGATTGCCGAGGTTGTGCGAGACGAGAATTGAAATATTTGTTGATCACTCTGCAACGGAAACACCGATTCTCACTACGACTCGCGCGGGCTCGCAAGCTCTCGATGGCTATTAATATAAATCGCGAGATAGTAACAAAGTATCTGACTATTTCTACTTACAGTACCTTCGTTTGATTCTCTTCCGTTAACATATTTAATAATAATAATTTACGGAATATGTTATGATGGCAATTTTTGGTGGAAATGGCCGGCGAAAATTCAATTCTCGTCTCGTCTTGCCGGTGGACAAACACCCTTATCAGCAAGTGTGACGAGCTATTGACTGTAAAACAGGTAGTGCTGTTGGTAATGTTTTTGTGTACTTTGTTCCATCACTATTGATAAGTGATCATAAGGAAAAGTATTGACCAAAAGTTTCAATAATTTGATGATGTATTCACTAGAACCAAGAGATCTCTTCTGTCACTTTAACTTGCGAAACTAAACTTACCCGTTTTTTAACTTCTTGTACCAACACCGTAAGTTTCATATATTAAATGTAGATAAATAGGTACAAAGCTGCGCTTATAGTAGAATATGAATAAGACTTAATTACGATTCTTATTTCGACTAAATGAAAAAGTGAAAATAGCATATTCGATGAAAAGATTTTACGATTCTTTCATCGATCCATTGGTGGTAAAATATCCGAACAGTTTTTATTCGGACAGCCTTAGTCAACCAATATAAAAATCGTAATTAAATTTTAAGTAAGTGTTAAAACTGTTTAAAAACACTATAGTATATTTTTGTAGATCACTTACCATAAGTAAGTTAAATTGTTTTTGTGTTGTTACAAATTTGTATTTAAATCTATTGACAAGCTTTTTTTTGCTATGTATTTTTATTTATTAATTATGTTTTTTTAAGTAATGGAAATCACGAAAATTGTTATATTTATTCTCGTTGTATTTATTTTAAATCATGAAAATTTACAATTTTACTGTTTATTGCACGGATTTGTTAATTGAAATCCAATAGGTTTTTATTTTACATTCCCCACTGTTGCTATTGGACTGTAGTATAAAAAACTAGCCTGCCAGTGACTACAAAACATTGGCTTGGCACTTCTGACCTTGCTACTGGTAATAACAGAAGGGGAAAAGGATTTTTTTTATTGTAATCAGTTTCCAACATTTAAAAACTGTGATATTTACTTGTGTCGAATGACCATCTAAGCAAATAACAGTTCTAACTTTGTTTTTCATCTATTTTTCTGCTCACTTGTTTTCTCTATTTTGTATTAACAGTTGGAGACAGGGGGTCTACTCTCGATCTCCGTCTGACACCCGTCTGAAACAATTACTGCAGAATAAACAATACTTGACCAAATGAAAAGACGCGTGATGCGAATGAAGCTTCATATGGATACTTGTCTTTTAATTTTGTCGAATATTACTTATTTGACAGTAATTGTTTCGGACGGATGTCAGACGGAATTGCGAGAGTAGCCCCCCTGATCCGTGAAACGAAACTTCTGTGTAATGAAATTTCTATGAAACGATAACATGAAACAAACTTCTAAGACGTATTTATACATTTTACCTCATAAAGCTTTTATAGATGCATTTTTGTACAGATAATTTGTACTCCTCTCTTTTTTGCGAATCCTTGCTAAGATCTCTTTGAAATTATACGCGGTTGTTTATACAGGTGTGGTAGGCAGCAGTGCCGTTATGAATTTTATGACGATATACTGTGTAAATGTAAAAAGTTGTTATGTATTATCAATTTAGTAATTTTTAAGAGATCTTATAATGGACATTCCATAATTTTGAAAAGCTGTTATATAAATGCGTTGCTTTTATTTTTTTATTGTACATATATTTTTGTTTCGAATAAATGTTGACATTTATATTTATTTTTAAATCTAATTTTGTTTCAATTTAATAAAGTTGATGGATGGAATATAATTATTCTTTTATTCAAGTTGTAAATGATGCATTGAAAGACGTAAACCTGTAGTAGTACGCCAGTCACCCGAGACGCTAGAATCGAGAGACGAGAGAATCCGGTTTCGCGAACTTTCCGGTTACCGATTTCCATAAAACTTGGCAAAAACATGTAATTCCGCTTCTCATGCATTTCAGGCTCTTGGGTATGAAGTGCCCGGATTCGAATCTGGGCACCTCCGAGTTTCCGTAATTTATGTGCGAAAAAATCATCAAAATCAGTTCACAGATCGAGTTATTGCTTAACACACTCACAAAAACAGTCGAATTGAGAAGCTCCTCCTTTTTGAAGTCGGTTAAAAAGGTTGAAGCCATGATTTTTCTTAATAGTCGAGCCACAATTTGTTGTATAGTATATCGATGTATCATACTTACATATAATCTGATTAAAATAAAAATCAATAAAATGGTCACACTATGCAATTCCCTATGCTATATATAATTATATATATATACAAGGTCCAGAGCGAATCTATATATATATATATATATTCGCTCTGGACATTTTGGAAGGAAAAGTGTCGTTTTTATTTTGACTTTCAATTATTTTGTGAAATCTAGTTTAAAGTGGAATAAGATAGTGCTATTGTGCCTTAATCGAAGATTAAAACGCGAAATTATACGAATCTCGAACTGAAATACCCGTATCGGCCCGTTCTAAGGAATCCCGAGTCAATCCAAACACGCCGCCTCAATTGCCTATCCTCTTTGTGGCGGCCATATTTACAGAAAAACTTATTTTTATGTTTTCGGCTGAAGGACTTTGTTTCCATGGCCAGAAATAAATTAATAAAAAAAAACCCCTATGCTATACGGTAGTAAACTCCCGGGCCACTACCCAGAACATTCAGAACAGATTTGAAAAATTCGTTTTCTTAAATTGGTCCGTACGAGAAGTGACCTAGCGCCAAGAGAGAGGTTGGTATCATGATGACCATATTTTTCCTTACCTTAGTTTAGGACCTAAAATGAATCTTTGTGAGACAGCGCTACATGAAGTGTATATCACTATCACGCTTTTTTGTCCTTACGAACCTATACTGAACTATAATGAGAGTACATGGTAAGGCCCCAGAAAAAAGACTAGATCGCAAAAGAACCACCTATGCAGAGAATATAACGTCTGCTTAAAGGTAAAAACCATACATTTACTACAAAAAAATCTCCTAATTATGTACCAGTTGTAAGAAATTCACCATCTTTCTGCAGATAAAACTCTTATTAAGTTTATAGCCTTGCTTGCTTGTTATTGAGTTTCACATGCAGAAAGATAGTGATTGTCTTACCGAAGCTATGTAAATTAAAGACTTTTTGTAGAAAATGTAACTTATGAGGTTTTTTTACCTTTAAACAGACGATAAAGACTATGACTTAACTATTTATGTAGCAGTTTTAACCTTACCACAGAGCTTTTGTTTCGTTTCCTGGATTCAAATTTGTTCCGCAAAGGGAGACCTGGGGCCCGATTTCTTTTCATTTTTATTCACAACACCCGAATCGAACGTCAAACTGTCGTATTCAAAACCGAACCGAAATAACGTCACACCCGTACGATTACTCGAAGGTCTCGACCGGCAAAGGCTACAAACGTTATTCAGAACACAGTTATCGAATGAAAATTACCGAACGCCCTATTGTTTACAAAGCAAGAATATATTAAGGTAATCTCTTATTATTTTAAATGAAGTCGGAATTTTGTTCATTTATTTTAATGCATTCCTATATTTTAGGCCTTTAAAGTGTTAAAAATGTATATAAAAGGACTTTCATTTTTATAATTTATAATCTATTTCACAGACTGAGGGTCGTATTCTAGAACTCTACTCAATGCTCAAGTCAGGACTTGAGTATGATTCAAAGCACTAGAAATCATACTCAAGTCCTTGCCATTAGGGTCGTATTTCGAGTGCCTGAAATCATACTCAAGTCTTCTCAAATCCTGACTTGAGCATTGAGTAGAGTTCTGGAATACGTATCCGAATCCGAACCGAACGTTTAACTCGGAATGTTGATATCCAATAGAACGATTCGGTTAAAATATCGAAGAGTTCTGAATTGGGGTCCTGGTGTCTCCTAATACAGGGTTTACCTAGTTTGAGCACCAGTCTTCCACAATGGCTATGGCTATGTAAAAAAAATCTCTCATGAGTTTGGGTGTAATTTGTGGTTGTCTATGTGTGTGTCCATGGCACCCGCGACACGTTTCCGTAGTGCGGGGCTATGTTGAGTGTGCGTTGTTGTTTTTTTTTTGGATATAAGATATAATATATTCACTCTGGAAGAGAATAAATACAAAAAAAAGTTATCAAAATGTTAACCGCTCTCCGAGTCGTTTAAACACAAGTTTGAATTTAGAAAAACAAATTGCATGTAAAAAAATTTATTCAACATTTGTATGCATCTTATTATTACAAGCTAAGTCTTACGTAATAAATATCACTAGTGATTATGAGTAAAACCATGGACCACTAAGAAGACTGCTAATCGCGGTACAATACAGCTTAGTCGGGTCTTCATTGACAAGCTACTATTTATCAAAGCTACTCCAATTTCTAGTGACAGTTATATGTATAACTAGATGGCAGTTATTGCAGATTTTTATGGATAGTGCCGGCACAGATAATACAATACTGTACTAGTGCCGGCTATTCTTTTATTTTGTCTAGGATTAGCGCCATCTACCCAGCTACTTAGGAAGCGTTAATTTACTAATTAGTTTGTAACACACAATGCCATCTATTGACACATTTTTCAAAGTGCAGAAAACAATTTTAGCTCATGATCAATAAACATTTTAATAATAATACTAGGAGAAAACTGACTTCTTATAATTCATATAAATGAGGAATTAAAATTGATATCCACCGCCATTTACATGATATAAACTTACTTCCAGACTTATTGATCAGCACCATGTAGATATAAGACGCAATTTTGACCTTTTCCAGAATTATGATCTATGGTTATGAAAATTAGCATAATTTTAGCAGTCCACTTGAGTTATTCGTCCATGAGAAAACGGAATTTAAAAATAAGTTTTTTTCGGTTACCCGATAGATGGCGTTAGTGTCGACTTTTTACACCAAAGTTCATCAAAATGTCATTCATTTTTGTTGAACATGTTAGCCGTGGCAGGCCGTGGTCATCATCCCTCTCTCTCTATCTCTCTCATCTGAGCGTTGTCCCGGTTGCGTCCTCAGCAGTGTTGCTGCGGAGCCCGGGGTCCGCTTTTTCTCCTCCACTTTGCACGGTCTTCGGCATCCTTAGTGGTGAGACCATTGGCAGGCATACCACCCTTGGCGACGTCAAGCCAGCACTTCTTGGGTCTGCCCCTTCTACCGGGGCCCGGCGGATGTGGCATAGCCAGACATTTGTTTCCCACGTAGCATGCCGGTTTCCGTAAGATGTGGCCGTACCAACGTAGGTGGCTTTCTTGCAGTTTATCTGCAATGTCACGGACGTGAAGTCTGCCGCGGATGCGGGAGTTTCTGACACGATCTTTCCGTGAAACTCCACACATCCAGCGCAGCATCTTCATTTCCGTGACACGCAGCTCCTGCTTATAGCGCTCAAGTACGGCCCACGTTTCACTGCCATATAAAAGGACAGGCCTAATGATGGATTTATAGACCTGTCCTTTCAGCTTAACCGGCATCTTGGCGTCACAAATGACACCAGTCACCTCACGCCACTTTGCCCAAGCGGCTGCGATTCGGGCTCTGACGTCGCAGTCGATGTCTCCGGACGCGCCAAGTACAGATCCCAAGTATTTAAACTGGCCCGTAGGCTCGACCGCGTCTTCGCCTATGCGAACGGGTAGGGGATCTGTAGCGTTGCAGACCATGTACTCAGTCTTCGCCACATTTAGTCTCAGACCGCCGTTCTTCAAGCGACTCCTTCCACACAATTCACTCGTCGTACCACTCTCCCTCTATCCGCATCCGCCAGCGCAATATCGTCAGCGTACATAAGCATCCACGGGGGTTGCTCATGCGTGTCTCGGATGGAGCTTGAGACCTCGTCTAATATCAGGCTGAACAGATAGGGACTGAGAACTGAGCCCTGGTGAACTCCGACAGTGACAGGGAAGGGTTTAGTGTCACCAACAGCAGTCCTAACCATGGAATCGGAATCGCGGTACATGTCTCGGATGATGTCAATATAAGCTTCTGGTACCCCTTTGGATCTCAGTGCCCACCAGATCATTACACGGGGGATACAGTCGAAGGCCTTCTGCATGTCAAGAAACA